GCTGGTATCAAAAAAGTATGTTTGTCATAGTCATATCAAATGTTTAATTTAGGATAGAATTGCATCCTGAATGCAAGATTAACAAACCTATGCAACATGAGGAACACATAAATAAAACCTCTAGTTATTCCTCTGAGGTAGTGCAACCTTATCAAGTAAGAACTTTAATTATTGCTTTTTGGGCAAATTTTTTTATTATTCGTCTATGTTATTTGTCTTTATAAAATTATATCTTTATTTATTTTTTTTTTAATGTTTTTATTTGAGTATATTTGTCTTCAAAAGTTTTTTTGTTTTTATTTTTTCTCTTACTTTTGTAATGTACTTGATTGTAAATTTTTATTTTTATATTTACTTTTTGCTTTTAATTTTTTATTAAATTTTTTTTTACTAAATATTGTACAAGTAATAATTATTATTTTGATTAAAGGATGTTATGAGTTCTCGATACACTAAAAGTCTTGACGAGAAGCATAAATTTCAAGAGAAGCAACGCTTAGAGATGATAAAGCGATCCAAGTAAGTATAATTATAAAAACCAATTGGAGGTACTGATTTGTTTAAAGATTAGCAGATGTGCAATTCAGCAAATTAATGATTCATTTTAAACAAAGTCTTTTCCGTCAAAATGAATTATACAAGGACAATGGCTTTTTTCAACGGCCTTCTTTATATTTAATTCAACAATTTCTGCAGTATCCTTGGCAGTTTTTTTCATCTTCCTTATTGCTGTTGAACCACTGGCTTTGCATTTTGCGATATCAACTCCACTATCTTGAAGAATTGCTACAGTTACTATTTGTAAGACATTGGCGGAGATATCATTTGCTGTAAATGTATAGATACATTATAGATACTATATAGATGATAGATACATTTCCATCAAAAATATTCTCATAATTAGGCTAAACAAGTCCAAAAGGGACTTTGGCAATAAGGTTACAATCATCTGCTCTTCAATGATGCCAAACTTTGGGTTCAAATTCTGAATCAGAATCAGCACTAGTGAAAGTGAAACTTAAATCTAGTTCTGAGGTAGTGCCTATCTTAAGAGATAGTTGCCTTATCTTTAGTTATCTTTATCTTATCTTTTTGCCTTATCCTTGTCCTCTTCCTCACACCTTTAGAAACCTAAAATTTTTGTTTACATAGTTTATATGTGTATTATCAAATAATTTATGTTAAATTAGCAAATTAAAGTAAAAAAAGGTCAAATTAATCCACTAACAAAACAACATAAAACCTTTTTGCTAAGTTTTCCATATTCTGATCCAAAGTGAAATGCCTCGGTCTGTTCTGGTCTTCCAAAAAAGTTAAATCATCATGCTTATCCTTATCTGAGCATTTTTTATCCTTCCTAATTTGGTTACCAAATTAAGAAGGATAAAACCTTCCTGGTAACCAAATCCAAAACAGCTTTTTCAAAAATGAAATAAACTCCTGTTGATTTACTGTGTCTGTGCTGTTCCTCTGTATTTATTTCTACTCAAATCTGAATACTTCTTGTCCATCTTCATTAGGTTCTTGATGATATTTTTATCTGACATTACTTGAAATCCCACTTAAATTCTTTTAATCGAGCCTAAAATGCATTCACTATCATCTACTTCATATCTCTTGTAACCCTGAATCTCGTTAGGAGGGCATGATAAAATTGTTGACTTTTTAATACTATGAGGAAGCAGTGATTTTCTGTAGGCAATGTGTTAAAGAATATTCCAGCAGGAATA